GTGTATGGACTCAGTCTGCTCTGTCCATTAAGTCAGTGTATAGACTCAGTCTGCTCTGTCCGTTCTCTAAATGTTTGCTCTACCATAGTTTAACCGTCCTTTAACTGAAACAAATTAAATTGAATGGCTTTCCCTTTGTCCTTAGTTTTCTAGAAGTTCTAGGCCTATCCCAATTTTGCAAACTTAATGTTATCATTACACTGTCAAAAACCCGCATCTCCCTCTAGCTTGTACAAAACAGTTTCCTCTAGCAAACAAACAAATGATAACATTAAAAAATATATAAGTAATAAAAAAATTGCACAAATTAAGTATGATATAGGGATGGCGATGCCAAAAAATTACAGAAACAAGGTAGGGATGAGTACACAAAACTATATTAAAATCACTACATAAGTAGCTAAAGCTTTCTAAGAAAAACTTATATCTACAACTCAATGTTGAATTCCTGTCAGTTACATGAATTCAGGTATCAATAAAAACATTTACACTGAATAGTGCTATATAGTCTCACAGTGGCTAATAACCATACTATTGTAAGATTGACTCAGTACTTACTGGCTACTTATGTAGGAATTTTTGTATGTTTTTTTGTATTCATCCCTACATTGTTTCTGTACTTTTTTCATTACCATCCTTACATCATATTTAATGTTTGCACTATTTTTTTACATTACTTGTTTCCCCCTCTTTTTTTAACAATTTACTTGAAGTAGTTTGATAAGTGATCATTTTTGTTTTTATAAATCAGTGGTAACAATTTGTGCTGTCATCTAGTGATCAAATATGAAACTGTTATTTATGAAACATGGGAATAATAAATGCTTATAAACTGAACTCACTGCTAAGTAGTAGTAGTTTCTTTCTTTTTTATTTCCCCAGAAGAATAGGTGATGTAGAAGAACAGAATAATATTATTGTTATACAAGCTGTGAAACACTTGATAATGGCAATTAGGTGCTCAAACTTTAGCAGTAATTTGTAACCATCATATAATAATAGATTGAATGCGGCGGCCATTATTTTCTCGGCCCATCACTACATACAGAGCTTAGTGATAACCTGTTCCAAAGTACTTTTAAAATGCTTTTCTGTCGTACTAAAACCATTATAAAAACTTCATACATTTTTTTGGCTAGTGTGGAAAAAGATGAATACTTTGGATCTTTAGTGAGTTTCAGTTCTCCAATCTAACGGCCTGGCATGGCCAAGTGGTTAGGGCGCTCGACGCGCAATCTGACAGTCTCGGGTTCGCTCTTTCAGCCGTGGGGGCGTTATAATGTACGGTCAATCCCACTATTCGTTGGTAAATCAGTAGCCCAGTGGCGGTGGGTGGTGATAACTAGCTGCCTTTCCTCGTGTAGCTTTGCGCGAAATTCAAAAACAAACAAACAATCCAATCTAGCAGGAGTCTCAAAAGCTGCGAAACACTCCGTAATGGCAATTAGGTGCTCAAATAAGGCTATAACTCAACTTCAATAGTTATTTGTAATCACTCGTAGAGTAATAGATTGAATGCGACAGCCATTTTGTTTCGGCCCATCCCTACATACTTAAATTCACCTCTTAAATTCTGACACTTAGTAACACCTCCGTGTCCATTTTCACTATTTTGTTTATAATAAATTAAATAATCGAGTTGTTTGTTTTTATAAGCTAAAATAAAAGTAATATTAATTTCTGCTCTTCTCATAATGTTAGCTATACAGAAGGCAGTCAGTCTTGCACTCTTTAATATTAACCTGTAGTCCTGGAGTAAACGTAGATATCACCGGTAACACTTCTAATTGATTATTAGGTTTTAGATCTTATAATTTGGCGCAAAATATACAAATGCCAATTAAGCCCTCAAAATAATTTCTATTTAATAAAAATGTTTTTGATTAATTTAATATAGTATTTTTTGTCGTTCACACTCTATTTGCTTAGGTATATATGTATGAGATATTTCTTTTGGCATGTCTAGGGTGGTTATTTCTTAAATCTAATTAAGCGTGAGATAGGTCACTATTTAAAAAAAACATCAGTTTCGGATACTTCAATCAATATATCCAAGAAAATGTATAATTCTATCAGCCTTTTCAATAGTAAATTTAATGTTAGAATCTAGGTAATCTAAAACTTGACTAAAATTAAACCAGTTTAAGTCATCATTCCCATTAATAAAATAGTTATCAATATATTTAAGCCGATGCGAAATTTTTTAAGTTTTCAGGCCCAGCATGGCTAGGTGGTATGGGTGCTCGACTCGCAATCTGAGGGTTGTGGATTCGAATCCCTGTCCCACCAAACATGCTCGCCCTTTCAGCAAAGGGGGCGTTATAATGTTCGGTCAATCCCACTATTTGTTGGTAAAAGAGTAGCCCAAGAGTTGGCGGTGGGTGGTGATGACTAGCTGCCTTCCCTCTAGTCTATCACTGCTAAATTAGGGCCGGCTAGCGCAGATAGCCATCGTGTAGCTTTGCGTGAAATTCCAACCAAACCTTAAGTTTAAATTCGATGACGAGGAACCCACTTTGAGACTAATAATGGCTGGAGACGGCTTGAATGGGT